TCTTGGGTTTAAAGGTTTTGCTAGAGCGTGATCCACTAAATAAAGTTATAAAAATAACTAGGATTATTGCAAGTATATTTATTTATTTATTTATTTATGTCTAATAACGAAGTAATGTTTTAACAGGCATAAAGAGTAAGTATAATTAAATATAATAAAAATTGCGTTTATAAGGTTACATACAAAGGAAATGCAATAATTACGACAGAGAAAAGAAAAACAAATTGGTAAGATATTATTGACTGTACAAAAGGTATATTTCCAAATCTAATGCGGTTGTTCTAAGATTGGTAAAATCTATGTCTAACAAGTTTGAGAAATGGTTGTAGTTCGATAAGATTAAGATAATTGGCGCGTTTGCATCAAAAGCCGTTCTGCTAAGCCCATCCTTAAAAAGATCAAAGCGACGCAAATTACGGCTTGGAACCATTTCCACGTACCGGAATGACTCGGGGTTTACCCGACCAAGGGCTGTTGTTTCAGCGATCTAACCCCGTTTAGGTCGGCGAAACCCATCAATCGTTATTCGATATTGGGGCTACATCAGCTCCGTACTATTCTGCTCAGGGCTGGCATAAAGTCCAACCCAGGGCCAGAAATTTACACCTGCTGCGTATGCCAGAGACGACGGCATACAAACTCCACCTCGGTCAAGTGCAATGCCTGTGACGGGTGGAGTCACCTCCGTAACTGCTCGGGCCTACGTGCGCACCGGCATTGGACCACGTCATTCGTGGCCCCATGCTGTGCGAATCGGACCGCCTCCGTGGCAACCCACCACCCGCCCGTGCAGCACACAACCAACACACCCACACCCCAACACAACACAACAATAGACACACAAACAAATACCGCAACGTGACATCAGTCAAGTGCAAGGTAGGAGACTGGTGTCATTTTAGGGCATGCTCAGGACTTCGCAACACGCGTGATTTGGCTAGTGACTATGTGGGCCCCTGCTGTGCTGCCCAGTCGCATACATCCCCCGCGACGCCGCCAACGACCACCACAAGGCAGCACCTCCTTTTGCAGCACATACAGCAGGGAACCGGCAGGCAACACAACTCCTTAACTCCACACATAACAACTGATCTCCCAAGGCACACAAAGGTGCTACAGAGAAGATAACTGGGATATGGGAATGCATGGCAGTGATCCGAGTTCAAATAATTCTGTGTGGTAGAATCTGGAGGAAAATGTGTAGGATTTCAAAAAAATGTGGTAGATCTCAGGTTTTTGTTCAAACATTGTACAAAAATTAAAGAAATTCAGTAAGTTTTCACCTAAATTGCAATCTTTTTAATTATACTCTAAAAAGAATTAATTTTAGTATAACAAAGTGCTAGATTGAATTGAGTTTTGTCAATTTGTTCCTTGACAGTGTGAAGCGGTTCCTTCCATATCAAAATATTTTTCGAACATAAATTTTTTTGCAACCTTGCGGAGTGCTGCCAGCATTTCATTCTATTACAACACGATGTAGCGAACAAATGTGGCCCGTTACAGAACCGCTACTTGTGATTTCCCGATTTTGAGAATTCTCAGAAACTTTAGACGCACCTCAGAAACTTTAGACGCACTGAAATCTGCTAATACTTTCACAAAAATCGCCGTGTTTTTATTTTCGCTATTATTATTTTTTTTTTAATTATATATTTTAAAATTTAACGTAATGAAATCACGATTCCTGTCCAAAAATTTATTATTGAGAAAATGTACTATTTTACAATTTATTACAACGCTTTTATCAACTTGCAATGTTGTGTGTCCAGAAACTTTCAATGTTGTGGATCCAGAAACTTTCAATGTTGTGTGTCCGACACCATAAAACCTTCGCTTTGAAAAGTTCCTCATAGTGCATAGGGCGACATCTGTAGTGAATAGGGCGAGGTAGATGACATCTAGATGTCGCCCTATGTACTACGTTTGCTACAGCGGAAATAGACGACACGCCATTTCTTTAAATAAAATTAATTGGTGCTCGTTTGTATGTACATACATATGAAAATGCATGTGTGTGCACCTTTCTATTAATATCGTTGAATTATTTTA